TGCCATCGCCTCCATGTCACCTGGGTCGGCTGCCATCACCTCCATGTCACCTGGGTCGGCTGCCGTCACCTCCATGTCACCTGGGTCGGCTGCCATCGCCTCCATGTCACCTGGGTCGGCTGCCGTCACCTCCATGTCACCTGGGTCGGCTGCCATCACCTCCATGTCACCTGGGTCGGCTGCCATCACCTCCATGTCACCTGGGTCGGCTGCCATCACCTCCATGTCACCTGGGTCGGCTGCCGTCGCCTCCATGTCACCTGGGTTGGCTGCCGTCGCCTCCATGTCGCCTGGGTCAGCTGCCATCGCCTCTTCGTCCCCTCTGTCGCCTGTGTTCACCATCGCCAAGGCTCTGGCTCCATCAACCTCCGACGGCTCCTCATCGCCTCCCGCCTCCTCCCTTGGCTCCACGTCTGCTCCCATCTCCTCCCTTGGCTCCACATCTGCTCACGTCTCCTCCCTTGGCCCCTTGTCTGCTCCCGTCTCCTCCCTTGGCCCCTCGTCTGCTCACGTCTCCTCCCTTGGCCCCTCGTCTGCTCACGTCTCCTCCTGGGGCTCAGCGTCTGCTCCTGCGGGGCCTCGCCATGGAGGGTTTCCTGGCCGTCCCCCTGAACTTTCATGTTTTGTCTCTGAACGTTAACCGGATGTAAATATACGGCAAGCCAGGAGTGACACAATATAGAAACCCGGGTCAGACGCACGTACAAGACACCATGGGGAAGAATCGATTTCATGTCCTGTGAATCGATTTTCCCAAATTTAAATGAAATCGATTCAAGATCGATTAAATCGATTTTTTTTTCACCCAGCCCTAGTATTAATAGACTTGCTGATAACTCATAAACCTTCAGGGCAGGAGATTTGTGTGAGCAGTTTCATGTTCAGTGAATTGTGCTCAGATACATGAGGGTGCACAGTGTGATAAATTAGAATTATTTTTCTTAGTTGTAATTTTTACATTTTTCCCTTCGCACCAACTTTCAGTATAAAAGCTGTTCCTCTTTGATCCATGAGGCAGCTGGTTTCTGGTTTCTAGACAATCTTAGAGATGACTACACAAAGAGTTGTAGTTTTATTTGTCTTACTACTCATATTTGTTTTTTTTTTCCTCCTTAACCACAGAGACAATCATCCCTCCTTTGTTTTTTCATGGTAAACAGGCAGAGCAGGCAGTAATTAAAATAATTCACTTTATAATAAAAAAACACATTTTGAATGAACTGTTAATTTTTCCTGATATTAATATGAAAAAAATATGGCACAGGCTCTCCCTTGTTTGCCCTTCACACTCTCTCTTAGTACACCTACACTTCATTACTTTGTACCATTGTGTTCCAATGCAAGGTGATGACATGAGGACTGGATCTAAACTTGTCATAAGTCTGGACTTTGAGAACTACTGTTGTACTGACACTTGTTCTAACATTACTCTGACTCATGCAGTTTGTATTTGAATATTTCTTACGTAACAAGACTGACTTTAGCCCCCCTTCTCCCCACAGCTGGAGAACAGGGGAGTGGAACCYCTGCTCAGTTACCTGTGGTGGAGGTTCTCAGATGAGAACAGTGCAGTGTGTTTCCCATGATGCCTCTGGTCCCCGGGTGGTGGAGGATGCAGTTTGTGCTGCCTCTACTGAAGCGCCTCCTTCTGTGCGGAGCTGCAACGTGCACAGATGTGCAGAGTATCGTGTGACTGGTTGGAGCGCAGTGAGTAAACACCGTCCAGCAGAGGGCATTCCAACTGAATATACAGTATATAAAGATGTTTAATTAAACACAAGTTAGAGAAATAGTTTAGTCAGAACTGAATTTGTATTTTGGAATAATTAGCATGAGTTGGTAACACTTTATTTGAATGATTTTTTGACAACTTGACTTTGGAATAATAATAATAATAA